AAACAGATATTACCTACTCTACATCTATTCCTTTGATCTTTTTCTTAAAAGAAGAAATTGTCATTTGTTCCTATTCAATTTCACGCAGATTTAGCCCCTCCCTAGCCTATCAGTATTATTTTTTAATTTTATCTTTTAGGCAATTGGTTATCTCACTTAGGTTTCTTTTGGTTGCAAATCTGGTAAGCACACTGTTATTTGAGAGACCATCTATCTCCAGTAGTTTCTGTCCGCCTAATAAGACTGGGCAGAGTGGGCACATTCCAAGTTTGTTCTTTTAAGCAACACCATCTATTGGAACCTAGAAAGTGTGTCTTTGTTATTGTGGCTCCTGGCCTCAGGAATTGCATCCCCTGGAGATTCATAAGGCTCCTACGCTTGCAGCTGTTCCACTGGCCTTGCTTGTGGAACTTGGCTTTGCTCCCAGGATTGCAGTTAGGGTAACTCTGGGTCCTCTGTAAGTTTTCTTTTGATATGTTAAGTTTCCTGTTCCCAATGAACCTGTCTTTTTTATTTCATTCTGTTGTTTCCTACTTTTGACATGTAAACCACCCAGAGGTTTTGAGAGTTGGACAACCTCTAAATCCAATAAATAAATACATAAACAAACAAACAAATAAATTTGTTCAACTGTTCATTAACAGTGAAGACTGCATGATAAACATTTTGTAGATGTATATAAATGAGGGTGAAGGTTCATTGTCCAAGCTTGTGGGTTGGTTTCCGAATGTTTCATTACCAGGCTAGGTAATATCTTCAGCGGAGTTTAGGAGAAACTCCCCTAAACTCCACTGAAGAAGATGTTATCTAGCCTGGTAATGAAACATTCGGAAACCAACCCACAAGCTCGGACAATGAACCTTCACCCTCAACCTATACCCAAGCTACAAATATTTGCCCCTATTGCAAATGTATATAAATGTAATTTTTGAGTCAACCACACACATACTTAAAACACTTTGTTAATCAGAATATAGGGTAGGTTTTATCAGTTGCTTTGCTGAAGTCAACATATATTATAATCATGGTATTCCCACAATCCACTAATGAAGATACCATATAAAAACTGGTAAAATTAATCTGACCACAAATCCCTCCTGATATGCAATAATCACTGCATTATTTTCAAAATGTTTACAAATTGATTTACAAATTTACAAATTCTACAAAAGAAATACACATTGACAGATTTCTAAAATAATCTGCTCTAGAATGTTCCCAATAATCAATTCCAGACTGACTGGCCTGTAGTTTCTTGGATCCTCCTTTCTCTCTGCAGTTCCTTCTATAATATACTATGATGCAATCTGTCTGTCTCTGAATTTTTTTTTATTCAGGGTCATCAGACCGTGATTTTTTTCTATTAGCATCAAGGTGGTATTCTGCTCCTTAATTCTGATTTTCAAAATTGCCCATTATCCTCTTTGTAGAGAAATTAAAGGGTTGCTTGATTTTAAAAAGAGGGGACAAAATCTTGAAGCACCAGGAGGAAAATATAAGGAATCATAAGGGAAAAGAGTAAGAGTGAAGAAATGACCCTACATTTTCAATAAGTTGATGATTGCTTCTAAGATCTACATGAGTATTCCTGTGTTACAACAACAGTACAACTTTTTAAAGTAAACTTGATTCTGAAAAGTTTTCAATATTATATTGGCAATATTGTAGATAGGAGAGAAATGTTGGATTGTATATCATCAACAATCACATCACAGAAGAATGTTAATATGGAAGAAATCTTTAAGAGATGAGAAAACCATTATTTTTCTATAATTTGCTAGACACAATGTGGTCTAACACAAAAATGTTGAAAATATGTATTTATTTAATGCTCAACTTCATGTCCTGCCCCCTTGGTGTTTATTTTTATCAGGTTCTTGGAAACTGTTGGAAAGGTGGTCATGAATTGGCCCCAATTCAGCTCATTTTTTCCAAATTATATCTAATCTAATTCTTGTTTATTCAGGCAACTCTTCAACTCAGTGAGATACCTTTGCAGTAAATGTATTTAGGATACTACCTTAATGTAGTTTTATGCATGTAGCCTTTATGTTTGATATTGTAAGATGTACTTCATTTTAGACCAAGCGCTATTAAAAAGAATTCAGTGTGTTTTATCTCAGAATTCAAAGTTGCATCCTGCTTCTTGAGACAGTTTCAAGCGTTAGTTTTAGGACAGCTGCCTATGTTGGAAATGAAGCAAAGTTATCTATGAACCAGTCCTATCTATGTATCCCACTAGATGTTGAACCACCTTAAAGAAGAGATATAAAGAAGACTCTGGACTTCCAAAATTCCTTATGCATAATAAATACATCTAAAATCACTTTCCCCCACCTTTGAAATCATAGTAGATACTGATGACTGATTCTGCCCCCCAGGGCACATCACGATCACAGCGCAGTACCTCAGCTTTCTCATCACAACGCACATAACGCTTCCTGTTGGGGTTGTAGATCGCAACGTTGGGGTGCACTGCCAGGTGCAGGGTCCATTTTTCTGTTTCACTGGAAGCCTGGGCAAAGCAAGTAACATTGTCCTCTGCTCCACCCAGGAAACGCTTGGACTGCTCATTTTGCAGAGACACCTGCCAGGAAAGAAATGTCACCATGTCAACCTCATCAGACAAGGGGGTGGAGGTGGTGAATGAAACACTAAGAATGAAAAGCTAGAACGGCTCTCCAGATATTACTAAATGTTAGTTGCAGTATTGCATTGCATACCATGGGTCCTAGAGAATGTGTATTTATCTGAAACTTGCCCTTCAGCAACTACACATCCCATGGCACATCCTGGTCAGCAGACCCTTCTGCTGGAAAGATCCAGATTCTTTTTCTACCAATATACTATAGCTGAACATCATATTTTAGATAGTAAGAACAAAATATGTATTTGGTCCGCTAGCTGTTTTATTAAGGATTTTGGTGAGGGCTGGAGGGAAGTATACGGTATGCCCTACAGTAGGACATTGAAAGCTACCAACTTGATTTATGTAGGTACAGACCGAGAATCAACTAGTTCCCAAGCACTGCACACTTGTAACTTCTGCCACTTGTAGAGAACAATGCATTGCAACCATAAGAAGCTCACCACATATGGGAGAACAGGACATGATTCCCCCCCCCCTCCGTGGAGCAAACAACTCTCCATTTTCTTTTTCTTTCTCCCCATTCTTTCCTTCTCACCCTTTTACCCCAACCCAGTCCCACCAAATCCACTCTAAATAGCACTGGACATAACCAGGCTGTAATTCTGTGGCTTGGGCTATATAATCAATAGGTGTGTTTGGCTCCAGTTGACTGCACCTTGCCATCTGGATACTGATGCAGCAGGAAGAACGTCTGAGGCCCTGGTTTATCCTGGTCACAGGTGACTTTGCCGTTTGGGTCAGCTGCTAAGTAGCGTTTCAGGGCACTGATAAGGTGAACTTTCTGGGCAGCCCCTTCTCCTGGGCCAGCTGCTCCAGCTCCATGTGGGGTCACAAATTGCAGCACCCACACCTGGCGAGGCTTCAGTTGCTTGCCTGTGGCTGCCACCTGGAAACGGAAAGGTTCGGCTGTCAGGTATCTGTTTGCAGCATTGACAAGTCCAAACTCCAGGGAGTATGTCATGGTGGAAAGGCTCAAATGGCACCAATTCTTCAGGCCGACTAACTGCTTGGCCTACTTGAGACTGTGTCTGATGCACAAGATCATAATGGATGCCTAGCAACTAGGTAAACCCAACCCCCTTAGAACTAAGCCCCACCCATAGAAGTCCATTACTCAGGCTATGTTCTGAAAGCATGACATCATCACTGATTGTAGACATCACCCTTTTATGGCAAACCAGAGGCTTAGTGGAACACTGTCCACATACAGTAAGATGGCAGATTTTCTTTTAGCCGTTTGCTTTGGTTTAAAGCTTCTTGTATGCAAGGCATTCTACCCTTTGGCAAAAGCTTGTTCCCTCCTAGCAGCTCACTAGACACAGGACCACCAGTTGCCCAATGTGAATTGGAAGTTACTGGCAGGGATCCTTCAGAAGACCTCTCACTCTTTATAAAGAGGTAGTGAAGTGCAAACTTTTATACAGTATGGCAAAATATGTCTTATGCCCAGTTTATAGCGATCCCCCAATAATGTGAATTTTCCTATAAAATATAGGCGTGTAGTACTAGCAAAAGCACTTAGACTTATATACCACTTTATAATGTTTTACCGCCCTCCCTAAGCAGTTTACAGAGTCAGCATATTGCCCCCAACAGTTTGGGTCCTCTTTTTACCCACCTTGGAAGGATGGAAGGCTAAGTCAACCTTGAGCCTAGTGAGAAATTGCAGGCACCTGGCTGCAGCAGAAGTAGCTTACAATACTGCACTCTAACCAGTGCGCCACTGAGGCTCTTAGGTACATCCCCTGCTCTAGCATGTTTTCCTATGTCTAAGGCAGGACTGTCAAACTTGCGGTCCATGGGCTGGATGTATAACATGCTGACCACGCCCACACCTGGTTTAGCAAAGGGAGAAAAGTCACGATATGTCATGTGACGATGCGAGTTTGACACCCCTTGTCTAAGGTAATCAAGACTACCCAAAAACAATCGTGACCAAAACCTAAATCTAAGTAAAGGCACCTTCCCCACCTCCTCCCTTACTGGAATTATTAACTTTAACCAGAAGTCATTACTCTCAGGGATTTTGTCAGTCTGCGGTATGAGTAGTTAAATATAATGATGAGATAGAAGTTTTATCTTTTAAAAAGGCATTTTAATTTTTGTACACAAAGTGGTTTTTGAACTAGTTTAGCATTACATGAAGCCATGGTTGTACAAGGGCTAGCACCCAGCTAGAACATGGCACCTGCCTTATTTATACATCTTCACTGACGTATCTAAATCACATTTAGCCCAATCCCTCCCTCTACAATCTTTTTTTTTTTAATGGAGATTTCTAAAAAAACAACTCGCCCTCCCTTTTAAAACTTACAAAAGGAAAAGAAACAATACAATGCAGTATAAAAGATTGACAATATCATCAAGTTTATTACACAATTTTCAACCTATCAGAAAAAGACAAACAAATCAAATCACGAAGAACAGGAGTGGGAGAGTAGAAGGGAACTGAAGTTATGTTTTCTGTTGTCTGTTTTTCTTCTTCTTTTTTTCTTCCATTATTTCAAAACAAACTAAAAATGTCCCATTAGGTAAAAAGCAACTTTTCCAATCTGTATTGTATACTTTACAGTTTAAGCTCTCTCCGCTGGCTTACATTAACTTTTTGTTTCCTCTTAAAAAAACATTGACCTTAGACTCTCTTGGATCAATAGCACAAAGGAGGCATCATATCCCTTGGTGACAGAGTCATCCTCTTTAATCTATCCAATTGTTCTCTTGAGAAAAAGACAGATCCTTCTATGAGGAGGGCTTCACCATGCAGTTGGATAGTCACGATATAATAGATGCTTGGTCTTACTAAAGAAATCCAGGGTATGTAACTTGATTTTGTGTAACTGGGGTGCTAGGATGGAGCACTGAAAACCAAAATGCACATCTCAAAAAGTTATATTTCAAAGATGACACTTGAATCAAGATTTCTGCAGCCACTGGTTTTCCATAAGGATCCTCATGTAATGTGTTTCTGCTTTCAATTGGTTGCCAGCCGAAAGGCTCATTGGATCCAGGAATCCTAGTTCTATGTTTACATAATAAGAATTTAACTTTGTTCTTTTCCAAGGCTGGCATGCCAGAGACCACTAAGGTTTTATTATGTCACTGAAGCAAACGTGTGAGTGAATCCCATCAAAGGGAAAATTCCAAATGAGATTGGGAGCAAGGGTAGTTTTGGACCTTAATTCAACACTTACATCACACAAAATTTAAAATGCTCAAGGTGTGCTCTAATCAATAATGTCCAGAAGCCTCAGCTTGACTTTGCCCCAATTCCATGTTTCTGTATCTAGTCACAACTCTTCCTCTACAACAAGGAAGGTGATATGCTGGGAAAGAATGGCCTTGAAAACAAATGCTTGTGTAAGAAATTACAATCAGAGCAGTTAATGCATGAAACAAAGCAAGGAATTTGTCAATAAATCACCTGTGGATAGAGTTCCTGCAGTAGCTAAAGGTACCTTTATTTTTTTAAGAGAGACTCAATTTTGTGGGCAAGTTTAACAGTACAGTCCCTCCTAAAAGACATTAGGTTAAATTGGTATGACAATTTTCAGGAATTAAGAAGAGGCATGACTGGAAGCAGCAACTAGCCTGTTCTCATCCCAGAAAAGGAAAACAAAACTTTTCTAAGCTGTGTACAAAGCTGTTAGAGTGCAAAACTGAAGCTGCTTTGGAAAAAAGGATCAAAAATTCAGGAGGACTCTATGCACTGATGCCTAAGAAGACAATGCAGTTTGAATTTTGAACATAAACTCCAGTGAGGCTATGGTAATATACCTTGTGCTGTGCTGAAGCATGAGGTCTTCCTATAGGAGAAAAGCTGGATGTATTCCTCCAGGGGTGTTTCTAAAACGCCATGGAAAGGAAAGAGGTGACAGACCTCTGTGGAAAGCACCATTCTCTTTGGGTCCAAGAATCCATGGATTGAAATGGCCCCCTGGTCACAGTGGCTCAGACAACCCCTCCCAAACTCCAAGTCATTCAGTGTTCCTCCATCAAGCGACAGCAGCAGCAGCAGCACACTTATGAAAAACTCAAGTCTTAGTGCCATAGTGTGCCAAATCGAGTCCTACAGGCAAAGTCACTTCCAAGGGGTCTGGAAAGAGCAGAGGGCAGCGGGAAGGAGTGGGTGGAGAATCCCCCATCCTTTAGTCTTGATTAAGGACAGGATATAAGTCCATAAAAACACTGAATGCTTCCAGCATCCCTGCAAAAAAGAAAGGAACATAAAATATTACTCACTTTTAAAGGCATTTTTGAGAGCATAGTTTAGAAAAGTGCAAATCCAAGAGTGAATTCCTATATACAGAGGGAATTGAAAATTGTGGGTTGTTTTAGAGCACAGTTGACCTGGACTAGGATTTGAAGCCAGATTTATTCTGCCACTGAATTATATAAACCAGGCATAATCCAACTACTTTCTTCCCATCACAGAATAGTACCTACCAAAAAGGACCACCTAGTCTTATGCAACTATTCAGAAACAGGTGGAAATCAAAAGGTTGTAGTTTAGTGTTGTTGTTGTTTTTGAAGTGTCCAATTCCCTTTAACCCAGAGCAGATTACAGTGGAATAAAATCGATTAAATTTGAGATTATTATTTTTTAGAAAAAAATATTTTACTAGTATTTCCCTTTCTGAAATAAGATATGAATTTAGGCATATACTTCACCCAGGAAAGAACAAAGCAGATTCTGCACAAATGTACTTCAGGATTTCCTTCTTGTTTAAGTAGTTAAATTAGAAGCTCTGGTCTGATTATCTACAGCAGTGCTGGATAATCCTTTGGGGCCCAAGGGCCAACAGTTGGCTTTCCTGCCTTGCCTTGGGGTCACAGGGGGCATGGCCAGCAATGTGGTCATTTTCCCTGGAAAAAAAACAAAACAGGAAAAACCAGCCTAATTTTGAAGAAGATGCTAATATTTTAAGTGATGCTAGGGTTCCTTATATCCCTGCATGCTCAAAGCGGGAATTCTCAAACTATGGTTTGTGATTCCCCCGGGAAGATTAACGAGCATAATGAAGAGGATCCCACTTGCTCCCACTCTGTTTGGAAGTGGGCAACTCTGCTGAGTTACTGGTCCTGGGCTATAGCATTGAAAGGGTTTAGACTTTCCTTCAATCACCCTAAGAGGTGAACTATCAGATCAGGAAAACTTCAGCATAAAGCTTTTTCAGCCAACTTTCAGACATACAACTCTAGGGGCTGGCTGAAAACACCTCATGGCAAAATCCTGCCTAAGCACAGAGGTTTTTCAGCCAGCCTCCAGAGACATTAACCTTCTGGGGAAGCCACAAGGAAAACTCCAAATGGTGATCACATGATTGTGAGGCGCTTGTAGATAGTCAAGTACCCAGATCACAATCATGTGGCTGCAGGAGTGCTGCAACAAGCAAAACTTTGTGGACCCATCATAATCCCTTGTTCAGCCCTGTGATAACTCTGGATGGTTGCCGAACAAATGGTTGGAAGTTGAGGACTATCTACTCTTGAAATTGCTTCATATAAAAAGGAATTGACCATAACAGGATGAACTATACTGACAAATAAAGTTATCGATTTTGTAGTCCTTCAAGACACCCAAACATCTGAAACAACTGAACTTTACAAAGCACTGAAAGTTAAATGCCCACCGATAAAGAAAAAAAAAAAACAACAGGATTCAAGTCTTCATTTAACATCAGATCTCCTGCCCAATGCCTATCTCTGATTCTGCTGACAACAATATGGACCATGATACCCAATTAGACGAAAGAGACAGATCGCTTTCCTTTAAAAAAAAAAAAAAGAGGAAGACATAATAAAAACAGGCAGGCATGTTAACCCTCCCTTGCCCTATCTCAAAAATGTTCTCACTTCTCTCAATGATGCCGATCTCTTTCTCTGTCCCTGTCTCTGTGTCTCTCGTGCTCCCGGCTTCTTTCTTGGAAATAGTCCTCATGTCGATCTTCATTATGAACCACCTCTCGGTGCCTCCTACTGCTCTCACGTGACCGACTAGGTGACCTATCCCGTGACCGATGTCTTTTTCTGGAAAAGAACAAGAAATATCAAGTGTGGTAATAGGATAAACTAGCTGTCATTTTTAAAAAAACACAAACAAAAGGACACGCTGCCTATACGGATGTACAAATCCCAAACAAAGAAAAATAGGACTGAGTCATGAATATAACAAATCCAGCCAGGTAAAATACGAATAGTTTTGCTTGTTGTGACTCACCTTGAGGAACTGCTGCTGCTGCCAGTGCCCATGCTGTAAGACTTGGCTTCAATGCCATGAAGGCAATCCTTAAGTGAAGAGATAAGGACCCGACACCGCTCATCATTTGCTACACGGGACTGTTTAATTACAGCAATGGCTGTAAGCAGGGTCTCAATGGCATCACTGTAATCCCCTGAAGCATAACAACATAAATAAGATGTAAAGACTGAGGCCTGAGCTAGGAAGGAAAGAAGGCAGCATTAAGCAACTGCGCTTACCTGCACTGGCCCCAGATACAGCCTTAGATATAGCACTGCTGGAAATTGCTCGATTCCTGTTCATGATATCATCAAATTCTGCTTCACCAACAGGTGGAGGTAATGGGCCCAAATCCCTGCTGCAGTACAGAAGAATGCACCCATCATTCAGAGGCAGAGAACCATTTTTCCAAGCAGAGCTACTTTGCCCACCATGCATAATTAAGAGCCTCCCCCTCAAAAAAAGGAAGTGTATTGTTGAATATGTATCTCTCTCTTATTTCCCACCATAGCAGATATTATAGTAATTGTAAGACTCTTCAGGGATGAAATCTTTCCCTGTGATTGGAGGCATTTTCTGGCATTACTGTATTGCCCAGCTAAAACACATTTTTATTTACAAAGTCCCTTTCTGAACTAGACCTAGGCACCATTCTTTGTGCTGCTTCCAGTTTATGCACATTCTTAAGGGTGGACTCGTTCTCACCTGCTGTGATTATATGGTGCAGAAGCCTTGCTGTAGGCATCAGGCGGAGGCCCCATGGCTGGATTTGGGGGTGGGAAGAAAGCTGGATTGAGGTGCAGGGCAGGTGGCACTGACCCTGGAGGTGGCACAGCTAAGTGGGGGGGAAGTCGAGGTGGGGGAGGCATGAGATGCTGGTAATGGATACCGGGAGGGGGAGGGGGAACTCCAAAACTTGAAGTAAGTGGTGGAGGGGGCGGTATGGGTGGCGGGGGCAGCCCCATCAGAGGAAGCGCAGAGGGAGGACGGTTGAAGAAAGGTAAAACGGGAGGCTTCTCAATGCGTGGTGGTGGGATAGCATTCTCTGTTGGAGTTGCTCGGCCATCGAGAGAGTCTGAGGAATCCCTTGAGTGAGCCATTGGAGGCACCCCTGTTAGACATCACAAATGAGGAAAAATATTAAGCACATGAGTAATACAGGATTTTCGTTTCATACAGCATACACTTCCCATAAATATTTCTTGTCCCATCACTATGACAAAATAAAATAAAAGAAATAAAATCCAACTTTCCTCTAATTTCTGTTAACTTATATTATAAGAAGGATAGATTCTGCTCTTATGCTCACACAGGGCTTAAATTTTGTAGAGAGATCCAGGCATCTGATTCAATGGAAACAGGCATTTTAAATTATTCCCAATACTGAAACCTGACCATTGTCTAGGACAAATCATAAAAGGCCACAAAATACAAAAACAGTATATCTGTTTATATGACAGCAATCTTCAGAGTTAAGCCCGTGCAATTTGGAGGGTGGTAAACAAGAGATTTTGATGAGTTTCAATTATATTTAAATATAATGAAGTCGCCTCCCTTCTCTAAAAATATTCCTATTTCTGCAAATGCACATTAATTTGCTTCTAGTCTACAGAGCTCTGCTCAAGATTTTCAAATAAGCTAACCAATGCCTCTTTCTCTGCCTTGCTACCTATTCAGCTAGCATATCATATCCAGCTTAACTTACGTTTTCGGGCTTGTGCCTCAAACTGTGCAAGGTTTTGCCGGGTAGCCAACTTGACTTCTATTTTATCTCCGTTTAGAATCATCCCTGGCAGCAGCTCTAGAAGTTTGTGGACTGAATTCTCAGAAGCAACCACCACTTCTGCGTATCTGTTCAAAGAGACACAGAAAGATCATTGGAAGACTATTAGGAAATTCTTGTAAGGTGTACCATCTAAACAAGGGGAAGGGAAGAATCAGCCATTCTTGTACAATTGTAAATTCCCAGCTTTCCTCATACTTAATTATAATGAGGGGGGGGGAGAGCAGTTTCCGCCCGAGGGCTTTGCCTCATCATCCCTGCAGAATTCCGCCTAACAGTATCTTCATTACTTTCCACTGCTCGCAACATTTCCTTAGGGCCAGAAGAGTTCAATGTTTTAGGTACTGTATATACTCGAGTATAAGCCTAGTTTTTCAGCCCATTTTTTGTGCTGAAAAAATCCCCCTCGGCTTATACTCGAGTCAGATTCCCCTCTGAAAAAAAAAATGGTGTGGAGTCGCGGCCTCCGGCGGCAGCGACTCCCAACAGCCCCAGCCGGGAAGGGAAAGGCAAAAAGCGCTTTGCCTTTCCCTTCCCGAGGCGGCGGGACTGGGGCCGCGCCGGCGGTAGTGACTCCTGACTCAGGGGGCCTCCGAGGGAGGGGAAGAGAGTGACTCCTGCCTCCCGCTGTCATCATCATCTTCTTCTTTTGGGTTAGTGAATCAATTAAACCTTTCATGATAGTGAGATCGTTTCCCAAATTAATTATTTTTATTTTTGAAATTTACCAGTAGCTGCTGCATTTCCCACCCTCGGCTTATACTCGAGTCAATAAGTTTTCCCAGTTTTTTGTGTAAAATTAGGTGCCTCGGCTTATATTCGGGTCGACTTATACTCGAGTATATACGGTAGGTTAAATAACTTGAGCCAATTTCTCTAGTTTTCTGTTTCCCCATTGCAATTGGCCATTCTTTCTCTTAGCTAATTTCAGACATTCATTTCCCCTTTCTATTCGTTTTCAGTCTGATCTTCCTTTCACACTTCTGATCTCAGTGGTCTGCTTTTCCTGCAAACAAATTCTTTCTTTTTTCCCTTCAGGAATCCTATGCATAGCTGGAGGCTGAAGGAGTAGCAAAGACAGGTTTCTTAGAGAGGATACACATAACACATATGATAGGAGAACAATTCATTAATTTAAAGTGTTCTGTTTGAAGCACCTTTTCTACCCATTTCAAGTCTGAAATATTTTGCATATTCCTGAAGCCTAAATTATAAGCAATCAAGCAAAATAAATTTTCAAATTAAGTTAATCAGTTCTTATTTCATTCTTTTCTTTATAACCATCTTATCTTTGTCTAAAGTATGGTCCTAGAATAACATTCAAAACAAATGTAAATTTTACCAACGTAATTTTTTTGTCAGACAGGCATATTGCAAAATATTCAGTTTCTTCAAAAATAAAGCCACATTCAAAAAGCCAGAAAGTTGCATGCATATATTCACACATATGATGGATCACAAAGTACTCCACATTACTCTGTAGTATGTTTCATAATGATTGCTCTTCATGTTTCAATCATTAACAGAGAAGACCTGCATTGCTCACCCTTTAGACTGGCCATTAGCTCTGTTCTCAGCAAATTTCAGCTCCACAACATCATAAACACCTATGGAGCGGATTATTCTGATCAATTGCTGGTCAGTTGTCCACTGTATATGAAGAGACATAAAATCACAGTATTTTATCTTAAATCTTTGTAAGATTTCCATTTGTTAATTGGTAAAACAATGCAATGTTGCAACTTTCCTTTACTGAACTCTCATTACATTTATTTAGACTAGACTATTTCCTCTTACTATATATATTTACTTCAATAAGGATTCCCCCCTTTTTGGGGGGGGGGGGGAAGGGATGGGAGGGATGGGAGCAATGCCAACTTAGAATAAGGTTACCATATCTGAATTGCAAAAGTCTAGGTGATATAGAAATAACTCTTCCGCTACCATCTAATAATCATCCAAATTTCTGTATCTTCAAAATAGCAATCTTGGTTTAAAAGGCAAAACCTCTAAATCAGCTACATTAATTTTTCACTAAATCTTTGTCTAAACAAATGCTAACAGATATGATAATTATTTTTCTTCTCAGGTATACACCAACAGCATACCTCTATCCATTGTTAAAAAGGACCACCTGTATTAGAAGAAATTATGTTTTGTAGTATAGAGTAAATGCTTCAACCAATCAGTGCCTCTATGGCTATTACAATTTATACCAAATCAAAGTGAACATATGACAAAAGCACATAATGCACCTTTTCTCTGAAATTATCAATATTTTTGAAAAAGCCAAGTTCTATTTATTTCCTGTCCTAATTTAGAATACTTACCCAAGAAAAGCTGCCCACATAAACAGCAGCCCTTTTATTGCGCAGTCCACTGTATGTATACAAAATAGCAGGCGATTTGCTATTTGACTTAGGAGATTGTTCTTGGCGGCTTTCGACTGGTGGCTCAGAGCTGCTAGTGCAACTTTCAGAAGGTTGTGAGCTGGCAGCTAGCACGTCATCATATAGATCCATCTGGTCAGTATTACTAAATTCAGAGTCCTAGAAACAGGAAGATACCACTTAGCATCTTTCAGGGCCAGAGCTTTTAAATCTTTTACTACATTTGTAAAATACACTTATATCATCTCCTGAAGGGCTATATACAGCTTACAATAAACTGGCTTCTCCGATCTTTCTTCCTAAAAAACTAAGGAAAAAGTCCAGTGGGGTGGATTTATTTACTAATGCATCTAAGTCCCCAATGTCCCTTTCCAAAAGTAATGAATAGTTGACTGTTGTCACTGTTATAAAGATTTTGGCTTTATGTTTCCATGCTCTCCTAGACTATATTTACAAATGTGAAATCAACAGCCTTATTTTTTCTCATTCCTCCACCAAAAACCAGGTAACTCAATCAGGCTTCTTCTAAATATTTCTCTGCTGCCTAATCAAATGATGGCAATAACCTGATTTAGCAAAAGATTGGAACCAAGCAAGACGTGGAAATTTATCTCATAAAAAGACATGGCATTATCTCCCTTGATTCCATTGACAAATTCCTTAAAATGAAACCTGAAACTCAACAAATTTTACATTAGATGAAAAGTTCTATTTGCTGTTGTACTGAGAAACCAAGACCACATCTTGGTTTGTTTGGAAGAACAAACCAAGTATTGATTGGAATATAATTTTGTTAAAATTCCCCCAAATCATAAGATTTGAAAGATGTCACACTGAATGTAATGAGACCTACTTCATCTAGATCCAACTCACTGCTCAACAAACACACACACACAATTAAAATTATACATTTGCTGATATGGGTATCAAACTTGTGGCATCACATTGACATCACATGATGTTTCGTGACATTTTTCCCTTTGTGGAGCTGGGGTGGGCATGGCCTGCACATGATGCATTCGGCCCACGGGCCACCAGTTTGACACTTCTGGCCTAGAGTAACTCTGGGCAGTGAACAAAAATAAACAAACCTCATGGAAACACTGTAATAATATCCACATATCTCTCACACATCACGCTGAATTCTATTAACATCCTGTGGATGTTACCTGAGCTAAAAAACCAGGTCTTCATAGCCTTTTGCAAAGCTAGTGCATTCAGAGTTATAGGAATCTGTGGTGGGAGGGTGGCAGGAAACATAAACAGAGAAGGGACACTTCCTAGACCCCACCAGGCAACGCTGTTTCACTGAAGGAACCTGAGGCATAGCGACTACGCTGGATCTAGTGGAATGGGCAGAAACCACTGGCGATGTCCCAGATTAACTTAAACTTCATGCAATGTAGGGATTCAAAAGTAACAACCAGTACCTTGAATTGCATTTGGAAGCCTAGTGCAGATCATGTTGCATTAGTGTGATTCAGGCCCCTATCACACTGCATGTGCCACTGCACCGGGAATCAGCTGGCGTTTCAGCATGCTTTTTAAGGGCAACTCCATATAGAATGCATTGCTGTAATCCAGTTGGGAAATGGTTAGTGTGTGAGTGACTGTGAGCAGTGCCTCCAGACAACTTGCAACTGATATACAAGATGTATCTCTGCAAATAACCTCCTGGCCACGGCTGCTACCTCAAGCAGGAACCATGAGTCCAGGAGGATCTCCAGATTCTGCACTAACTCTTGAGTGGCACCCCATCTGGAATTAAGGACTGGAAATCACTAGATTCTATTCAAGTCTTGACGGGTTTCAGGCATGCTTGTTCTTACCCATTCTGATCCTCATCACCTCACTGGGAAATGACTTGGGGCATACTGATTATACTTAACCCTATGCTAACGGGATTGCAAGCAGATCATATCTTAATATCATACTGAAATGGCACATAGTGCCATCAGTGCCAATTTATATTCACTTATCTATGACTGAACACGGGCAAGAGTACATAATGGAGATGCCCTCATGGCAATAAGGACAACAAAATGTCAGCATTTCTCTGCCCTTATTGCTTCCATTAAAGGTTGTCCAGCAGCCCTTCTGAGAGTGGTGCGATCACTGCTAGGGAGTGGCATGCTATTAGATCATCGGCAGGGCTGCTGTGAGGAATATGTGATTTGGCAAATAAAGAATATCAGATCCAGACTGAATGAATTCCAACTGGGCATATCTGGCCAAGTGCCAGGGGCATAGGGTTATGATCTAGGATATATCAATTGGGGTTTTGAGGGTCTCTCTGTAGTTTCTTCAGCAACTTGTTTTCTGGAGTTAGATCTATTCAGTGATATTAGTCTCCTTGAGGGAGGTGAGGGTGTCTCTCCTTCTCATTGTTAAAACCAATCGTTTTTAAGACTATCATCATCCTAGCTCCAACCCTGTTAAGATGGTTGTCCTGCAGTTACATAAGACCTTGAGGGAAATGGATTATCTAAACACATTTCATTCATGTTTTAGGCCAGGATTCAGTATTGAAACAGTTTTGGTCTTACTTGATGACGACCTGATGTAGAGGTAGGATGTGACAGTGCATCCCTCTTATGGTTTTTGATTTTTTGATACTGTTAACCACAGTATTCTTCTGGACCAACTCCAAGAGCTAAGAATTAGGGGCACTGTTTTATAGTGGTCTTTCCTTCAAGACCAGTTCCAGTTGATGTTGACATGGGAAGGTTGCTCCCTAGACAACCACCCACCTCACCCACCTTTCCGAGGTGCAACAGGCCCCTACACTTCTCTCTGCTCTTATTCAGTATCCACAGCATCCGATATCATCAGCTAATCATACCTCATTATATTTTTCAACATCAAGCCAGCCAAGTAAGGAGGTTCAAATACCTGAAGGCAGGCTTAGATGGAGAGGAACTGATTCTGACTCTCTCTCACCAAGATTAAGAAGTGGCTGTGGTTACCTGGACAACTAAGTTCAAGGATTCAATAGCAAGGCACAAACTGTGAGTTTTCTTAGAATCAACTCCTGCTCAGAGGAGGCAGAAGCTATGGCCAAGGAGACTTTTGCAAAACTCTATCTGGTGCACTTACAGTATTCCTTTACTGAATTTGATGACATTCAAATTCACTCAACCCCTGCCCCCTTGTCATCTCACAGGTTGGTTGATACAATGCTCTGGTCTCCATGGGGCTGCCATTAGAGATTGCTTAGAAGCTTCAACTTGTCCAGAATACAGAGGCATGTTCAATGATGCGCTTCATAATCTGCACATATTGCCAGTGTTTTCAGGTACAATTCATGGTGCTAGTTATCACCCATAAAGCTTACACAGCCTTCAGGACGTTATTCAAGGAACAGCACATTTATGGTTTTTGCCTGGCTGAGTGTATGCACTTCAAGTCCTCTTGATTAAACTATGACACATTCTGGGACCCAGGAATTGTTCCTTCTCTGTATCACTCCTGCCCTTTGGCATGAAGTTGTTCAGAGATTTGGATGGTTCCCTGCTACTGTATTTCAAAAGGACTGGAAATGCTAGCTGTTCTCCTTAACTTTGGGGTAGGCTATTGCCTGTATTAATGTACCAGTTTGTAACTATTTTGTAAATGCTTTTAGGGATTGTTGTATCTTTAGTTACTTGTTTTTATATTCTCTATTTTTGAGCAACCTAGAGTTGGTTGGAATTCAGTAGTATCGAAACTGAACCAATTTTGAACAAATAAATTACACACACATTAGAGAGAAATAATGTAATGCAAATCCTCTAAAATGGTATTTTCTCAGAATATGATTAAAAAATAACATTTAAAAAATACACCTCAATAATGTGTGTGTGCATGTTGATAATTCTGTTTCATTCACTTACCGGGCTTCCACAATCTAGTTAAAAATCCATCAAT